TTTGTGTGAATAGAACGCGCTCCGTGAGATTGCAAACAGCATCATCTTAATTATGAGATTCTACGTTTACAGCTTGAGTGGATCAGAAGTAAGGATGAGATTGTACAATGAGGTGAGAGCCAACGAACACTGGCCGAGCTCTCTACGTCACGAACGGCCCTCTTCCTCGTTGTCACGTTCGAGAGACGTTCCGTAATGAGCCGTCCATATCGCCCGCCCAAGATAAGCATCGCGCCAGCCAGAGCAGATATTCGATATCCCGTCCAATTTGGGCGATCGTTCGCAGCGCCTCGCCGTAATTCTGGGAGAGGATGGAAGGGTCAGCATACCCAGGGCCATGTGAGGTCATAGCCAAGACCTTGATTTTCGAACATGTCACAAGCCTTGTCACGATGAGCCGTGTATGGAGGCCAAATCGGCCCTCGGCTCTGAACCGGGGGTCTAGTTGTGGCATGCATTTGAGCATGTGATGAAGGCTCTGCAAAGATGGTTTTGGCGAAGACCATAACATGTCATAGAAAGAGTGAGACAATGTTCTGGTAAGGCCACTTATTTCAATTTCATAAATTGCGTACGCTCTTCGCCCTCCTATAGGAAAAAAGATAATTGATAGGTTTAGTATTGAATGTCGGTCTTGTCCAAGATCCGATATGTGCGGATTAGAATCGGAGATGTGGTTGTCATACTGGCGAAGAGTGCTAAGTGCGGAGCTGAGACCGTTGAAGATAGACATCATGGCTGACGGGCTCTTGCAGCGCACCCCACACATTCTCTATAGGCCATCTGTGCGACACCGAAGCTGACTGTACCGATAGATGCAAAGATGGACAGTAAGGCTGGGGGGATTACGTAGAGATTGTGTTCCCAGATAACATAGCACCTAATATACTGGGGATGGTTTGGTAACCCTACTCTACTCCGCGTTCAGACGGATTTGCGAGCAGTCGGTCTGCTTCTACCATAACAAAGAGAAAAGAACTCTCGCTTACTAGCCAAGGCAGGAGCTGCTGCAGCCATGAGAAAGCCGCCAATCTGCTCGTCCTCAGCATCTGCAGAACCACCTGGTTAATCCGTTCATAGAATTTTTGTGTGGAACGTGCGGACAAAGTATAAGATAAAATATTGGCCGCTCCATATGAATGGTAGAACAGCAAACCAAAGCATAACATAGTTAGTCTTAGTCTGATGGCCCCGGTAAAGCGGCACGTGGTAGGCAATAGCAGTAACGATACAGAGCAGTGCTTAATCAGGGGTTGAGCAAAGCACCGTACGTGCAATGACACTGACCATAGAAGACAGCTTCGGATAACGAGCTCACCATGTGGACCACGCTCTGTGAGATTGGCTAAAGTTGCAATAAAGAGGAGTGGTAACGTATATCAAGCATCGATTGCCTTAAATTAGCTGTTCTGACGTTATTAGTCGTGAGGCTGTGCTGTTTCATTGCGTAGGTACCGAAAAAGCTAGTTACTGCCTCCATTCTTGTCTGAGCCAGTTAACTCTGTTCATCTTGCTAATCACAAAAGAAAAGATGGTGATAACTACAATTGACGACTTTGCAGAACGCTTATGCTGTCATAGAATAAGGAATTCCAGTCGGCAGACAGTGAACGGGGCTCACGGCGCTCCTTCCAAGCTCCACAATACACGTATCTGTCCACCAGCACCATCTCCAAGCTTTGTATCAATTGAGGATACTTCTCCACCACTTCTCTGGAGACGGAGGGCAAATCCAGCTTTGAAATTGGCTGAACTGAAGGAAAATACCCCGACCACTGTGCAACTCGGCGTCGTCGTTGTATAATCTCCTGGGCAAACGCGAGCTCAGCATGGGTACGTGCTCCCCTGATACCAAGATGTTTTAATCTCGGCGCCAAGATGCTTGTTACTTTCACTTGGATGTGGAGACCACTTTGTCGGAAGAAACAGGTAGACGGAGTAAGCTCGACAAGACCCGCGACTGAGCAATCTGTTGATGTCCGCAAGCTGCACAGCAAAGTCTCCACGGCTGAAGTCTCGCTCAAGAGTATAAGCACCCACTTGGAAAGCATGCCATTGGTGGACAACGTCTTCAACGTCTTTCCCGCTCGTCTAACAAATATCACCAAAGCAGCAATCGAGTCGGTGCAATCACGATAACGAGCACGGAACGGGGATGCAACGTAAAGCCGCTCCAAAGTGTTCGCGTGTAGCCTATTCACAAGAAACGTGAAGCTATCGCTCGATTCCATAGAGATGCGCACGGTCCGAAGAGACGGCATTGACAGAATGGATTGTGACTGAAGATAACCAAAATCCACGTCCGTTGGGGGCACTTGAGCGAGTTGAACCACTGTAAGCTCTTTCAAAGAGGGGCACTGAGCGACCACTTCCAGAATGGTAGATGGTTGTAGGGACTCTTTGCGAGATATTAATTCCAGTGTCGTGCATCGAGGAAAGGAGCACCTTTCTTGAGAGGAAAAGAGAGGGCTTGGTTCGCTCAGAGGAGCATAGTCAACGAGACTCAGGTTGTCCAATACTGGGAACTCCAAGTGAAGGACCGACCAGCTCAAGTGGTGGCGCACATCTGGTGGAGACCAGCGGAGATGCACATGCAAGCGCTTAAGTGTCCGCCTCGTGGCCTCCATGCACGTGTGAAAGGCACTTGCGTTCCACCATCTGGCCGGAATATCTATCAGAAGTGAGTCCACTCTTTGTGACAGCGGAGCCCAGAATGTCTCATCCATAGGGACAACGGTGCCCATTGTGTTACCCGCCAACGTGAAAGATGGGTGAAAGTTGAGACTCAAAGATCGACCGTTTGAACGAACGAGGTAAGTCTCAATTTGCTTTGGGTGCTGCAGATAGGCAGCCGGGTTCATACCAGCTGTCTGCTTAATGCCGAGTGGGACGTTCGTCCACAGCAACGATGCCGATAGGGCAATAGCGCGCCATCGTTGAGACACATGGGAGAGAGCAAGCGGGGTATTTCTTGTTTTTTGCCACGGAGGATCGAGATCACGTGCGCATTCTTCGAAAATGCATAGCAAAACTTCGTTGCTGAGACGCATTATGGGCGAGAAAAGTGAATTACGCACTCGGGCGAATGTCGCATGCATGTTTTCAACCAATAATAACTCGGCACTCGAGCGGGAGTGATGTCGGTGAGACCGCTGGTAGTGCTCAAGAGCCGCTGTAGCTTGATTCAACCGACTGGAAGCCACTTGAAGAAGGTCACTTGCCATAACCTCTTCCGCACTGAGAGACGCAGCGGGTTGGCTGATATACACCAGTAGACGAGTTTTGTCCCTTTCTCGTAGCCATCTCGCTTCCAGTCACGCTTTGCTTATAAATGGGGAGAACAATGCTTGAAACGCACACTTTTTTAGCCGCCCGCGATCTCTGCCACCATGGCTCTGCGCACACTACCCGAAGATATCCTGGTCATGGTCTTTCAATTCTTACACAAAGACTGCCTTTCGGCTATTCGAAACAACGCAGACCCTCACGGAGAAGCTTGGAATTTCACATACACGGACTGCTTATTGAAGATGATGTCAACAATAAGCTGTGTGGATCGGTCATGGAGAAGTTTGGCAGTATCGCTGCCCTGGCTGTGGACTTACATTCCGATCACTCATTTCTATCGCATCCCCTTTACCATTCAAGACTTTGGGCTTCGGTGTGGGGCACTTCCACTCACGCTCGTCATCAATACCAGTTCCGATCATATTGATGCCCAACTGCATGTACTTCAACAGCTCGGTGTACTCGGTCAAGTCCAAGGCATGGACTTGGTTCTCCGCAATTGCGATACCTTAGAAACGATCCGTACCCATTCCTTTCCCATGTTGACGTCCTTACGGCTATTTGGTGGAATCATCACCCCAATTGGGAAGGACTGGATTTGGGAGGGGAGTCATATCAGCAACCTTGTATCCTTGGAATTGTGGGAAACTGAACTTCATTTCCCTGGACCGCGTCATGAAAAGTGGACCTTCCCCCGCTTGAAGAGGCTGAAAGCTCTAGTGAATTATACTGGTTTCGAAATCCTCGAAAGGGGCTGTTTCCCCGTCCTTGAAGATTTCGAGGTAGGTGACGCGCGTGAACGCCCTGAGGGAGCCAGCTATTCTATCATGCCCGAAAAGTATAACCAGATAGTCCATCTCGGTATAATGGCCAGTAAAGCCCCATTTGGCGATGACAACAGTAGCTACCCTCTCCGCAGAAGAGCAGAATGATACATCGTTCGAACTCTGTCTAGAAGAGCTCTAAACTCCGTGGCCATTGTAGACTGTTATCGGCACCGAAGGGTTGAACAGCTACGGGCCCCAGCTACGGGCCCCTCGTCACATGCTCAAATGCATGCCACAACTAGACCCCCGGTTCAGAGCCGAGGGCCGATTTGGCCTCCATACACGGCTCATCGTGACAAGGCTTGTGACATGTTCGAAAATCAAGGTCTTGGCTATGACCTCACATGGCCCTGGGTATGCTGACCCTTCCATCCTCTCCCAGAATTACGGCGAGGCGCTGCGAACGATCGCCCAAATTGGACGGGATATCGAATATCTGCTCTGGCTGGCGCGATGCTTATCTTGGGCGGGCGATATGGACGGCTCATTACGGAACGTCTCTCGAACGTGACAACGAGGAAGAGGGCCGTTCGTGACGTAGAGAGCTCGGCCAGTGTTCGTTGGCTCTCACCTCATTGTACAATCTCATCCTTACTTCTGATCCACTCAAGCTGTAAACGTAGAATCTCATAATTAAGATGATGCTGTTTGCAATCTCACGGAGCGCGTTCTA